AAGGGAACTTCCTAGGGTAATGGTAATCTACCTGAATAAGAGTTTCGATTATACAAATATGTACATTTCTCAATTCTCATCAAATGGTACCCTTGAGATTTATAAATTTCATTTATGTAATATTTATCTTAAAAGGGGAAAAAAGGGCTATAAACAAATATTCACCTCTAATTAATGATATAGGACATGCTGAAATACTTGGAGGGGAAAGTACAGTAATGCTTGCAACTTACTTTGGAATACATCCAAAAAACAAGATGAATGGATGGATGGATGGATGGATAGAGGGATAGATAGTAATATGCTAATGGTAGAATATGGATGGTGAGCATAAAATTCTTTCAACTCTATGTGTGAAAATTTTTCCTAATAAAATGTGGACACAAAAAAAGTGGCGGGGGGGGGATTGGGGAAAGGTGTTCAAAAGGTACAAACTTCCAGTTAAAAGATAAATAAGCACTAGAGATGAAATGTACACCATGGTGACTATAGTTAGCACTGCTACGTGATACACTGGAAAGTTGTTAAGAAGGGTAAATCCTGGGATCCCTGGGTGGCGCAGCGGTTTGGCGCCTGCCTTTGGCCCAGGGCGCGATCTTGGAGACCCAGAATCGAATCCCACGTCAGGCTCCCGGTGCATGGAGCCTGCTTCTCCCTCTGCCTGTGTCTCTGCCTCTCTCTCTCTCTCTGTGTGACTATCACAAATAAATAAACAAAATCTTGAAAAAATAAACAATTTAAAAAAAAAAAAGAAGGGTAAATCCTAGGGGTGCCTGGGTGGCTCAGTTGGCTGAGCATCCAACTCTTGGTTTTGGCTTAGGTCTGATCTCAGGTCCAGGGATTGAGCCCTGAGTAAGGCTCGGCGCTCTGCACAGAGTCTGCTTGTCCCTCTCCCACTGCTCCTTCCCCCCTTTCATATTTATGTAAATTTTCTAAAATATTTTATTTATTTATTCATGAGACACACAGAAAGAGGCAGAGACACAGGGAGAGGGAGAAGCGGGCTCCCTGCAGGGAGCCTGACGCACGGGACTCGATTCCCAGACTGGGATCAGGCACTGAAATGAAGGCAGATGCTCAACCACTGAGCCACCCAGGTGTCCCTATTTACTTATTTAAAAGAGAGAGAGAGAGAGAGCGCACATGTGCACGAGCAGGGGGAGAAGGAGAAGCAGACTCTCTGCTGAGCAGGGAGCCCGATGCAGGGCTCAATCCCAGGATCCTGAGATCATGAACTGAGCTGAAAGCAGCCCCTTAACTGACTGAGCCACCCAGGCACCCCTCATACATAAATAAAATTTTTAAAAAATGAAAAAAAGAAGGTAAATTCTATAAGTTCTTATTGCAAAGAGAAAATTGTTTTCCTTTCTTCTTCTTTCCTTTCCATTGTATCTATATGAGAAGATTGACTTTAGCTGAACATACTGTGGTGACCATTTCACAATATATGCAAATCAAAACATCATGCCATACACCTTAAATTCATACAATGATGAGAGTCATTTGTCAGTAAAACTGGAAAAATAAATATAAATAAATAAAATTAAAAGGTGACTGATGAGGAGCATCTGGGTGGTGCAGTTGGTTGAGCAACAGACTCTTGATTTTGGCTCACGTCATGATCTCAGGGTCATGAGACTGAGCCCTGCATCAGGCTCAGTGGGGAGTCTGCTTAAGATTCTCTCCCTCTGGGGATCCCTGGGTGGCGCAGCGGTTTGGCACCTGCCTTTGGCCCAGGGCGCGGTCCTGGAGACCCGGGATCGAATCCCACGTCGGGCTCCCGGTGCATGGAGCCTGCTTCTCCCTCTGCCTGTGTCTCTGCCTCTCTCTCTCTCTGTGTGTGACTATCATAAATAGATAAAAATTAAAAAAAAAGATTCTCTCCCTCTCCCTCTGTTCCTTCCCCTGCTTGTGTGAGCACTCCCTCTCTAAAAATAAATAAATAAATATTTTTTAAAAAGTGGACTGATGAAATAAATTATGGTCTCTATAGTAAGGGCAGTGTACATGAATGTATGTATACACACATGATGAAGTACTATGCAGCTTCTGAGACTAAGGAGATGCTCTTGTCCTTGCAGAAAGATCTTCAATACATAACGAGGAAAAAGAGAAGGCTGAGAAGTGTTTTTAAGGCATACCTCTGTGAGCTGCAGCCCTTGTGGACAGTCGTGTGCGAGCTCAGTATACTCTGTGCTGACAGCATCTTAGCTCAGACCCACACCTTGGGACTTTGCGCCTCTCTGTCCCACTACAGGAGCCTGCTGACCCAGGGATCCAGGAGTGCTGGGGTGCCCATGCCCATCAGGGCAACCCTCAACCAATGAGGGTGGATAATTGCATCTTTCCAGCAGACAATGCAGGAGATGTTCTGTGGACCTTCCAGGAGATCCTGGCAGAATTTTGGCCCTGCTGCCAGAGCAAGAACCATGATACATCCTTCTACAGACTTCTGCTTCTTTCCACCTGTCCCTTGTGCCTGCATTCTTAGATCACTTCTCAGATCCCTTGCACTCAAGCCCTTGTTTCATGTTTTGCTTCTAAAAGAACCCAAATAAAGACAATGGGTATCAGCAGATCCTCAGGATGTGAGCCTATACATGAATTTCTCATGTCAATCAAACAACAAGAACCCTATAATTAGTGTTAAGTGGGTGGTGATACTCTGCATTATGCAAATATGAATTCTAAGGTCCCTCCTCTGCTGGACTGGGAGGAGGTATAGGCAGAAGGGGAGGAGTTGGCATCTGCATTAGCTCTACCCCTGGAATGGGGTGGGGTGGTAGTAGGTACTGGTAATCATAAGGATTGTGAGGCTGGCTGATCTTTAAAAATATTTTATTTATTAATTCATGAGAGACACAGAGAGAGAAGCAGAAACACAGGTAGAGGGAGAAGCAGGCTCCCTGCGAGGAGCCCAATGCAGGACTTGATCCCAGGACTCAAGGATCATGACTTGAGCCAAAGGCAGATGCTCAACCACTAAGCCACCCAGGTGCCCAGAGGTTGGCTGATTTTCATTAACAGCTTTGGAAGCTTGGAAGAAAGATTGCCTGATGTGCTCAAGTCAGCCATCCACTCCAGGCATTTTGTGATGCCAGAGGCTTTATGGCCATATCTAAAGAGATTATGTCTGCAGCTATGTCTCCCAGCTGCAGGCATCAGGAAGCTGCCTGATGGAGCTGCTCAGGACTGGGCACACTGGGAGAGGACCCTGAGGGGCAGAATGTAAGGCTGGATGGAGGGAAGTGTCCTGACAATCTCCCGTGACCTGTGAGTTACCATCTTGATAAAGGTACCTTAACCTAGTTCCTAAGCTGTTGGAACCAGACATGATATTGGCCTACAGGAAACGAGGTGGAGATGCCAGGATGGGCTTCACATCCTGTGGAACGTGTGAGATGTTTCAAAGAGATGGGAACACAAAAATGGTGATCAAACAACCCACCATCTGATGATATTCCCCAGGACAGGCCAGAGAACACTCCCTTCAGGAAGGAATGAACTGCTGAGGAGGGCTGTGGCATCCTTGAGAAGACCAGTGAGGCTGTCCTCATAGGCAAGGGATGACAGAAAATGCTGCTGTGGCACTGAGGATGACAAGACTCTGGTATAACCAGAGAGGGACCATATAATTCCCACAACGACCAGCTAGGCCAGAAGGCAACCGGGGTGTGTTGACCAGTGGTGATCTCAGGAAAAGGCTCATAAGCCACAGCATTTCCAGTGGGTGGGATGATTGGGTAACCAGCGAGTGAGCTGCCTGATGTGTCTAACAAGGACAAAAAAATCAAGAACTCATAAGCAAAAGGCTGATGCCAGCCGCTGCAATGGAAAATTGTGATTCCTTCTTCCAGTTCCCAGCTCTGGGGCAGCTTCTAACAGACGGCCAATTGACTGAAGGGAGAGTTGGAAGGATCCCTTGAGGAAGAACCCTGTGATGCCACTCCAGTACATACAATGAATATTCCCCTAAACCTCCCCCAACAGGACTTGGGTACCTGCATCCTCAGAAAATGCCCCCCTCAGACCTTCTGGGGATGGTTGGATATCCCTAAGCTGATATACCAGGGTATTTCAAAATGTGATGGCATTTACCACTCTTTAGGAGACTGGGAAGAAAGGGAGCCATGGCCCAGTTCTTCTACATACGTCCAACAAGTCAGAGGGCCTATGGTGATTTCCCTGGCCCTGAGTACAAATTGGGATCTTTTTACCTATCAGCCCGCAGAACCCACACCCACACCCTAAGTCAGAGGCATTAATGGAGGGAAGAGAGCCAAGTGGAAACTATCAAAGTGCCCACTCCCCACCTCAACCCAAGATAAATCTGAAGCAAGACCACAATTCCTCCTGGAATGACAGATCCTAGTATCCCCTCTACAAAGACTCACACAACATTCTCATCTTATCCTCATTCATCTAGCACATGTAAGCCCCTGCAAATAGCAGACAGATCATGGTGGACGATGGTGGACTACTAACTGAACCAAGCAGAAGCCCAAGTGGTACCTGCTGTGTGGGTGTAGTATCATTTCCGGTGCAGTCAGTGTGGCCTCTGGCATTTGGTCTGTGGCTAATGTTCTATTCTTTACAAAACCACCAGTAAAAAGGACCAAAAGCAGTTTGTTTGTAAGTGGGCAGGATTGCAGTACACATTCCCTTCTTGTACCAGGGCCCCCTTAACTGCCCCATCCTCTCCCATGAGAGACCGTGATCATCAGCACATCCCATGGGCTGTCACGGGATCTAATACATAAACAACATCATGGGATTTGGACATAGGGAGCAGTGATAAGTCTCTGAAATGGAAGCTTGGAAAAGCAGCACAGAGTGGTAGGGACAGCTGCAGAAGCAGCACCAGCTAAGAGAGAGCTTCCAAGTATGGCTGTCATGGCTAAGGTAAATGGAAAATCTGCTTCATGGGTCCAAATGGATCCCCCCCTTAACATTTAGGAATCTGAGAGGATGCAGCCTAAAAGAGCCAGCCTCCTGGCTGACAGAAGTAAGAAGTAAGAAGTAAGGCAATGGAGAAACGTAGGGGGAGAAGGAAAGAGAGAAGCTGCCCTCATAGCTTATTCCCACAAATACAAAAAACAAATCTGTGAGCAGATCCCACCTCTTCTGAATTAATTGGCACAGGAACAGAATACTGAAGAGCCACAGTTTTATTTCACATGTGCAGGATTGTGGTAGCATCAGTGTTTACAATGCATGAGGTCACAGAAAATTTATAAAAGAAAAAGCAATTGCAAGCAAGGCCAAGCATATGCCTTCCCAGGACCCCTGTGTACATATGCATATGATACTAGAGAAAAAAGACAGCAGTACAAACAAAATACCCTTGAACCAATTACACATCAGAGACCTAATACTATCCAATATAACATTTTTAAAGTTACTTATTCCACTTAGATGGTTCCAGTGGTATATAAGCATATCTTTAAAGTAAAAAAACAAAACAAAACAAAAAACCCCCCAAAACCAACTAAACATAATACCAATATTTCTGTCACCAGGTAAGGTGAATATTCCCCAGCTTTCCTAATATTCAGGACTAAAGATAATTTTATTTGCATTACTTTATGCACATTCCTCAACTACAACAAAGAAAAGCAGCTCAGTGACATTATGAGTTATGGGTCCTGTTGACCATGTAAAGACAATATACATCTTCAAGCTCTTCGGTATGACTCTGATAAAGCACCTATTCAGTGGATCTGTATCCCCAGCACCCTTTTGCCCTTTCACTCACCCCAGAGACCCAAGAGCCTGGAGAATTCCTGACATGAGCTGCTCAGCTCCAGAGTGGCAGAGACCCAACCCTTCTAGGCTGCTGGTGCTCCAGGGTTGAGGGACAAGGGATTAAGGAGAGCGGAGAAGATAGGGATGGAAGGGTGTTTATACATATGGACTTCCCAGATCCCTCAGCTCACAGAACATAAAGACAGAGGACTATTTCAGATGACTGTACGACAAACTTCAATTGTGCTAGAGCTAAGAGCCTTCAAACATCCAGTGTCATGGAAACACGAGGCATAGGGGATCCCTGGGTGGCGCAGCGGTTTGGCGCCTGCCTTTGGCCCAGGGCGCGATCCTGGAGACCCGGGATCAAATCCCGCATCGGGCTCCCGGTGCATGGAGCCTGCTTCTCCCTCTGCCTGTGTCTCTGCCTCTCTCTCTCTCTCTGTGACTATCATAAATAAATAAAAATTTAAAAAAAATAAATAAATATTTAAAGAAACACGAGGCATAGACAGCCAGAAGAGGCAAAACATCCACAGTGACTGGTGACAATCAATATGGATCTGGAGGAATCTGTGGATGACCTGCTATGGCTTAGGCATTCTATTCTTATCAGTTTTATTATTTATTTATGCCTGTCTTGTTCTAAAAAGACTTCTGTCCAGCATTCCAAAAGATGGTGGATGAAGAACATAAATTACAAGGGAAGAAGAAGGAAAGTGGCCAAATGGAGGAAACATGAACAACACAGTTGGGACCAGCTCCCAATCTTCCAAGACTCGCAGGCAGTTACAGTTACAATTCTGCTTCCTCAGAGAAAGGGTAAGTACATAGTCTTAAAAAAAACATAAGTTTTAAAATTATAAAATAATTCTTAAAAATTAAAATCAGCCCTAAGTTGCCACACAGAAAAGAATCATTTCAAGTGAATTTGAAATAGTATTTTGACAGTGTTTAGCCTGAGGATAAAAATAGATCTTAAACCACATTCAGGTAAAACAAATGAACAAGCAAAACTGCATCCAGTAGAGTTAATCCTAATATGTTATTGCTATTTTGAATCCATAATATATATAAGTAGGATAAAGTAAATAAGTAATAACATTGGTTGTTAGGAACCAAAATTTTCAGTGTAAAACAAACAAACACAAAACCAGAGAAAGTTAAGTAAAAACCTTTAATCAGGGTTCTGTGGGAAATCTCTGTACCCTCTATTCAATTTTGCTGTGAAACTAAAACTTCTCTAAAAAAATAGTCTGTTTTTTTTTTAAATAAAGTTCATGGTTTGCCATTTAAATCGGAAATACTAGTATAACTTATAATTTTTTTCTTTCTAAAAAAAATTATTTCCTAGCAATAGCCACTAAAACAACTTACACTAGCTGGTAGCACTTGGCTCCTCTAGCACTTAAATTATGGTCTCTAAATATTTCCCACTAAAGGGAAACCAGAGCTCCTTCAAGAAACTACTTAGCCCGTCTGGGGCACAATATGTACAAAATAAGCCAAAAGCTATCAAAAACTACTATGGTCACAACAAAATGACACAGAAGCAATTTGGTTCCAACTGGCCAAAGGTGGGAGATTTTGAGCATTAAAAGGTTTATCACTTCAATGGACTGAAACCAGATCTATGAAAAGAGCCAAGTTCACGATACTCCCTTCCACCCCAAATAAGAGATTACTGGTCATCCTTGGAGTCTGCTGGGACATCAACTCTTTATTCTGACAACTGATGAATAAAGGGGAAGAGTCTAGAATCTGTCTTGCCTTTGATACAGCCCTTTTCAGAGTAACCAATTGATGAGGATAGAGTTTTTTTTGTAGAACAAACAGTTTGTAAATGCAGAAGAAATGATCACATTAAAAATCACCATTTTGGGGGCTGATGGCAGGATTATATTTCTGAGTATTCCAAAACTCCTTCCGAATTCAGAACAGAGGTAAAAGAAGTTTCCATTGTCTCTTGAATATATAAAAGCTAAGTAACCAAGTATTCCTAGAAAGCCTTTTTAGTACTCTGGCCCACCATATTCTGTATTAAATGTACCAAACTGGGGATCCCTGGGTGGCGCAGCGGTTTAGCACCTGCCTTTGGCCCAGGGCGTGATCCTGGAGACCCAAGATCGAATCCCACGTCAGGCTCCTGGTGCATGGAGCCTGCTTCTCCCTCTGCCTATGTCTCTGCCTCTCTCTCTCTCTCTCTCTCTCTCTCTCTCTCTGTGACTATCATAAATAAATAAAAATTAAAAAAAATAAATGTACCAAACTGTAAAAAAAAAAAATCATGATTTTTGGAATCCCTAATGGAATAGTGACTTTAGGCAATAATCATCAATGACTGCTGAAACATTAGGTGAAAAGATGATGAGGAAGTTTCTAGGGAAGGATCAAGCTGACAACACTGGACCTGTGGGTCAGTCTTAGATCATTTAAAGCAATGAAGTCTTCTTGCCCAAAAAAGAAAAAAAACTGAACCTAAATCCATCCAGCCTCTAGTTGTAACTTTCCTAGATCTCTAGCTTTATCAGTTCACAGACCATATGAGGGATAGTACGATACAGTAAACAGCACCACAATTCCAAAATGTAGGAAATACTAAGATGTAATATCCAGATAACTTGAACAAATAAATGACATAAAAGGGGAGAATGCTAATATAGACTTACAGAGATTTAAGAAGTATATCACATATAGTATATGGCCTTGTTATTAGATCCTGATTCAAACAAAAGAACTGTAAAGAGACATAATTCCTCAAGAAACCAAAGAACAAACTAAACCCAAAGCTAGCAGAAAGAAATAGTAAAAATCAGAGCAGAGATGAGTGAAAGACAGAACAAACAAACAAACCAAAAAAAAAAAAAAGAAAGAAAAAAAAATCAGTGAAACTGGGCGCCTGGAAGGCTCAGTGGTTGAGCATCTGCCTTTGGCTCAGGTCATGATCCTGGGGTCCTGGGATCGAGTCCCACATCAGGCTCCTGCAGGGAGTCTGCTTCTCCCTCTGCCTGTGTCTCTGGCTCTCTCTGCGTGTCTCTCACGAATAAATTAAAAAATCTTAAAAAAAAAAAATCAATGAGACTGAGAGGTGTTTTTTTTTCTTAAGATCAACAAAATGGACAAATCTTTAGCTAGATTAACTATGAAAGAGAGAAGACTCAAATAACTAAAATCAGAAATGAAAGAGGAGCTATTACAGCTGATGCCACAGAAATAAACAAGATTATAAAATATTAGTATGAACAACTGTATACCAACAAATTGGGTAATCTAGAACAAATGAAAAAATTCCTAGAAACATACAACCTACCAAGACTGAATCATGAAGAAATGGAAAATCTGAGATCAGTAACTAGAAAGAAAATTCAATCAGTAACTGAAAATCACAAAGAAAAACCCAGGACCAGATGGCTTTGCTAGAGAATTCTATCAAACATTTAAAGAAGAATTAACACCAATTTTCTTGAAACTCTTCCAAAAAATCAAAGAGGAGAAACACTTATAAGCTCATTCTATGAGGCTAACATTGCCTTAACACCTGAGCAAGACAAGATGTAACAAGAAAACTACAGACCAAAAAAAAAAAAAGAAAAAAAAAACTACAGACCAATATTTCTCATGAATATTGATGCAAATATCCTCAACAAAGTACCACCAAACTGAATTCAATGACACATTAAAGGGATTGTACACCATGACTAAGTGAGATTTATTTCTGTAATGCAAGGATGGTTCCACATATGAAAATCAATCACTGCAACACACCATGTCAACAGAATAAAGGGCGAAAACCACATGATCATCTTAATTGAGGCAGAAACAAGATGTTGGTGTTGACAAGATTCAACACCATTTCAACGACCAAAACACTCAACAAACTAGGAATAGAAGGAAATCACCTCAACATGATAAAGGCCATATATGAAAATCCACAGCTAATATTATACTCCATGATGAAAGACCACAAGATTTTTTCTCTATGATCAGAAACAAGGCAAGAATGTCTGCTCTTGGGGATCCCTGGGTGGCTCAGCAGTTTGGCACCTGCCTTCGGCCCAGGGTGTGATCCTAGAGTCCTGGGATTGAGTCCCGCGTCCGGCTCCCTGCGTGGAGCCTGCTTCTCCCTCTGCCTGTGTCTCTGCCTCTATGTCTATCATGAATAAATAAATAAAAATCTTAAAAAAAAAAGATACCCACTCTACCCAATGTGATCTACAGATTCAATGCAATCTCTATTAAGATTCCACCATTTTTTTTTGCAGAAATAGAAAAATTCATCTTAAAATTCTTATGGAATTTCAAGGAATCCCAAGTAGCCAAAACAATTTTGAAAAAGAACAAAGTTGGAAGACTCGTACTTCCTGATTCCAAAAAATATTACAAAGCTACAGTAATATACAGTAAAAGAGTGTGGTACTGGCATAAAAACAGACAAATACGAGTGCCTGGGTGGCTCAGTGAGTTAAGCATCTGCTTTTGGCTCAGGTCATAATCCCAGGGTCCTAGGATCAAATTTGATGTCAGGCTCCCTGCTCAGCAGGAGTCTGCTTCTCCTTCTGCCCTTCTCCTCACTTGTGCTCTCTCTCTCTCTCTCAAATAAATAAATAAATAAATAAAAATCTTTAAAATAAAAAACAAAGAGACCAAAAGAGTAGAGAGGCCAGAGATAAACCCTCACATATGTACTCAAATGGTCTTCAACAAGGACTCTCAGGCAATTCAACAGGGAATGGACAGACTCCTCAAGAAATAATGCTAGGAACACTGGATATCTACACACAGCCTTAAAAAGGAAGCCTTGTCACATATTAAAACGTGGATGAACACTGAGGATGTTACACTAAGCGAAATATGCCAGTAACAAAAAGACAAATAATGCTTGATTCCACTTATACAAGGCACCTGGAACAGTCAGATTCATAAAAACGGAAAGAATGGTGGTTGCCAGCTGAGCGGGGGGAAAAGGAGCTATTGTTTAATGGCTGGGGTTTCCAATTTGCAAGATGAATAAACCCTGGAGATCTGGTTCATGATGATTTAAATATACTTAACACTATTGAACTGCTCATCTAAAAATCATTAAGATGATCAATTTTACACTACATGTTTATCACAATAAAAAAACAAAGACAATTGACATAATCAGGAAAAAAACGAAACATGAATTCTCTACACAGTTAATTTCATTTAATCCTGCACTCAGACACAACTACTTAACCCTGAGGCAGTGGAAAAACACTTATACTGAGAGGTAGAAGACATGGCTTCCAGCCCCAAATCTCCTAATTGGGTATTAAATGATGTTAAAGAATTACTATTACCTTTATTAGGTACAGTGACATTATGGATGTACTTTTTAAAAAAGTAGTATTTTTGGGAGAAGTTATGTTTTCCTTTTTTTCTAAAAGATTTTATTTATCTACCTATTTATTTGAGAGAGAGAGAGAGAGAGAGCATGTGCACACCGCAGGGAGAGGCAGGGGGAGAAGGAGAAAGAATCTCACTCAGACTCCCTGCTGTGCATAGAGCCCAATGTGGGGCTTGATCTCACGACCCTGAGAACACAACCTGAGCTAAAATCAAGAACTAGATGCTCAACTGACTGAGCCACTCGGGTGCCTCTGAAGTTATGTTTTCTAAGATTTGCTTTAACATATTCTAGCCAAAAAAGAAAGAGTACTAGGCAGTGGTACATGAGAAAGTACAGCAAAATAGTCATAATTATTGAAGCGGCATGATGAGTACCTGGGGATTCAGTATGCTATTCTCTTTGCTTTGTGAGCATGTTTATATTTACACAATAAAAAGTTTAAAACAAAATAAGGGGAGAAAAGGATGACATAGCATTAGCATATTGAGATTTTATAACAATAGTATATTTCACATCCTATTGCTAATTTTTAAAAAGCACTATATTTCAACTTGCAGTAACCAAATTAAAAAAAAGAGAAGAGGGATCCCTGGGTGGCGCAGCGGTTTGGCGCCTGCCTTTGGCCCAGGGCGCGATCCTGGAGACCCGGGATCGGGTCCCACGTCGGGCTCCCGGTGCATGGAGCCTGCTTCTCCCTCTGCCTGTGTCTCTGCCTCTCTCTATCTGTGTGACCGTCATAAATAAATAAAAATTTAAAAAAAAAAATAAAAAAATAAAAAAAAGAGAAGAAACTAAAAGGAAATTGAAAGAATATTCAAGCTTCAAGCTTCAAGTAAATGTTCCTCACCAACTCGTCCAGCCATAAGCAAACAAAACAAGGTTAAGTGAATGAGGAACAGGGAAAGAGGTGCAAAGAGTGCCATGGAGGGTGGCCCACCAGGACCACATCTGCACAATAATGGAAGAATTTCTGTGGGGAACAGTTCCATTACATCACAGGATACAACGGATGAGAAGGTGCTGCTGAGCATTCCTGAGACGCACGCACAAGATGGACCTGTCTCACTTTTGGGAGTAGAAAGAAATCAGTCAAGCAAAGACTTCGGAAGAGGGATGAAAGGTACGCAAGATAGCACTTGAGATGGCACTTGAGAAAGAAGAGACAAAGATGAAATATAAAAAATAAGGATGGAAGTGAATTTCACAAAGCTCAGAACACTGATGTAAAAGATCTGAAATTCAGAGAGCAGTGAGATAAGTGGCATAGGAGGCAAGTCAACCACCACCAGCTGCGTCTAAGGGTGGAAGACAAATGGCATCAATTAACGTAGTCTGGTGAAATCCAGAACTGGAAAGTTAACTGGAATGATCCCCCCAAAAATGGGGTCAGGTTACAAGGAAGGGAGAGGGGTTGGAAGGGCAGTCATCCTGAGGCCATAAGGGGTGGCCAGCCTAGGAGGGCGCCGTGGAGAAGGCAGTGGGGACATGGGAGCTGGGTGGGGAGAAGCGCTTCACCTCTCCTGGAATCCCACTATCTGCAAAATCTATGAAAAGAAAGGCCAGGGACCCTTCCTCAGCTCTGAATAAGTTGTTCTCCAAACTTACTCCTGGCTGCAAAGACGATTAAACACAAGGGGATAGAAAGGGGATAGAAGCCACTGACATCTCAACTCAAAGACACATTTTAAATTTGCCTGGAAGTCTTGCTGTCCATACCTCGACTGCCTTGCAAACAAGAAAGGTGGTCTCCAGGGTCCCCTAGGACTCTGTCATACATCAGGAAGTCAGGGAGAAAAATGAAGACTTCCTCTGGCCAGGCCCAAGAGCATGCACAAGACCCCAGCATGCCCAGGCCAAGGAAGGCAAGCCCTCAGCAGTTGCTGCTTTGACCCATCACTGGACCCTGGCCACAGGCAGCACGCTACCCACATTCTCCCAGTTTGGCCCCCCCATAAATTCTCTGGGCACCCGTGCCTAACACAGTTCCTTAGCACACCTCATGTGATGTTTAAATATGAACACCATCCAGTGCTTCCTGTGTGACTGTGCCCCATGTACCTGACTTACACTGTGTCTTCATACCATCCCCGTGAAATAGTCATGAGGTAGATATCATTATCATTATAGGGTGACGGAAACCGAGGCTCAGTGAGGTCGTCTGCAGACTTCTACCTGACCAATGAACAGCAGGGTGAGCTTCTCCAGGCAGAGTGGTGTTTGTGTTCCCTGCTGGAGAAAGCCGCTGGATCACAAAGAAGTCAACGCTGAGCCAAGGTCCCCGGGTTTCTCAGTGAGGCCTCTTCTGACAGGAGACCTTACTGATTGCTAACCTGAGGGTCGAAGGGTCTCTTGCCTCTGGCACAAGAGGCTTGGCCAACAGGGTGAGGTCACTCCAGAGGGCCCAGAATCCAGCAGCATGGCACTATGGTTCTATGGCCAGAGCCCCGGGGCAACTCTGATGGGGTCAGGATGGGGTGAGGGATGGATAGGTGGCCGTAGAAGTGGAAGTTACCCAGCAGGGAAGACAGTCCCAGCATTCCAGGGCCCGGGGGAGGGAAGGTCTCAAGACCTTGCTGGAGCACAAAGCCCCACCACCCCATGCACCCTCAACTTCCCCTGATAGAAAACGAAACTCAGTTTCTCACAAAACATAGACCCAAACCTGGGGGGGGGGTGGGCTCCACTTTCTCAACTCTTCCAATGTTACAGACATCCTACAGGGGAACCAGCCAGCCCCCTTCCAGGCCCTGGCCCCTGTAGTCACAGGCAAAGTGAAATCAGCCTCAAGCAAACCCCTCCAAGAGACCATCAAGGTCTAGACCCTTGTTCATTCTCTTTGCACAGTTCAGTGCATCTGAGTCCTGCCCTCACTTCACAGATACTGCTCCTTAAGCATTGAACAGTGGAGAGGGAGGCAGAGGACCCAGCTTTTGGCCAAGAGTCTCTTATATACCCTGTCATGTTGCCAGTGCCCTATGTCCCTCTGCCTGTTTTCTTGCCTGCCTGTAAAGCAGCCTGTCCCTAACTACCTCACCCAAGGGTTGTATAAAAGGAGACAAGTGAGACAAGCCCCCCTGAATTCCTAAGCAGCAGCACCATCACCAACACCTACCACTGTGCTCAGAGTTTCTTTCTGCCCCACCCCCGATCCCAAAGGCCCAGGAGCACAGGCAGTAAAATAGCATCACTGACGGCCTGGAACAGCCCGAGCCCTGTGTCCCCATGGGTTTGGCTAATGCCCTCAATAAAGGTGACTCTGACACAACCAAGAGGGAAAAGAAAACATTCCTCCCCAGCAGCTGGAGGGGCCTCCCTCTTGCCTGCTCTAGATCACCTAGCAACACTGCCCCTTCCCTGGAAAGCTCTGGATCAGTGATCCTAGAGACGGCCTAAGTCCTAAAGAGGGTTTAAAAATGTCAGTGTTCCCCTCTGTTCTGATTTCTAGTGGCATCCCTTTTAGGCAAGCCCATGTTTCAGTTCAGCCTCGTGAGCTCTGCGGAGGAGGAGGGCTTACTGCACATAACCTGGAAAACAGATGCTCATTCTTACATAGGTGGCTTTAGTGGCCCCACAGATACATATGAGAAAGTAACTGGCCATCTAAAGAGTAAACCAGCCTGAACTTGCCAGGCAGCCCCAGCACATATCACTGTTCAAGCCAGGCCAAGCAGGTATTGGCAGGGCTGGGCAGGAGAGGCTGGAGGGGGTAAAGCAGGCAACCCGCTCTAAAGAGGGATGGATAGCGAAGGCAAGGGCACTGAAGAGGCATCCAAGGTAGGCAAGGTCAGGTTCAAGGAGCCCGCTGCAGGATGAGCTCCGTGATCTCTGCCCTGCTACCCAATCTCATGGGTATTCCATAGTAGGCTGTGCCTGGGCTGACATACACAAATGTAGTCTGGGCCACTTGGTAGAGGCCAGCAAAGAAGGGGTTCAAGAGATAGGCTGCCACGTTCAAGGGGAAGATTTGCCCAGCATGTGTGTGCCCAGAAAGAATCAGGTTAATGTCTGGCCGGGCCTGCAGGGCTCTCTTGGCAGCCAGGGGCTGGTGCGCTAGCAAGATGGTGGTGTGGTGTGGGCTGCAGCCTCCCAGGGCCTTGACGAGGTCCATGCCATGGCCGTAGTAGTGCAGGATGTCTGCCTCAATATCGTCCACCCCGGCCAAGCAGATCCAGTCATCGCCCTCACCACCCCCGGGTTGGGCCCCTGTGGCTGAAATCTTCACATTCTCATTGTGCAGTGGCCTGACGTTCAGGGATTCCAGCAGCGCAAACCAGTTGCTGACATCTGACGTGTAGTACTCGTGATTCCCCGTGACAAAATAGGTGCCGAGGCGGGAGTGCAGCTGGCCCAAAGGAGCCACGGCTGTACGGAGGACAGAGGCTTCGGAATCACAGAGGTCACCCACGATCACCGTGACGTCTGGTTCCAGCCTATTCACCATCCTCACGAACATTTCCATCTTGGTCCTGCCCACCGTGGGGCCCAAGTGAATGTCTGAGAGAAGCGTGATCTTGAAGCCATCCATGGAGGCGGGCAGCTGATGGATGGGCACCCGCACGGTTTTCACAGCCGGGGGCCGGGCAGCGTTCAGGAGCCCAACCACACTGAGCACAGTGGTCACTGCCACTGCCAGGGCCGGCCTGACTGCCAGCTTCCTTGTCTTGTCGAGGCTGCCCACGACCCTACCGCTGCGCCAGGCCAACAGCTGGTAGGCCTGCTCCATGCCGCTGAGGGTACAGAGGAAGAAGACCATGATGACGTATGCCCCAAGGCAGGAGTAGGCTGCCAAGGAAAAGAGATATGGCTCCTCGGCCACTAAAAAGAGCATGGTGAAGAAACTGGAATGGGCCAGGGCCAGAAATGCCATGACAGCCATCTTCCAAAGCTGAAAACAGGCGGACTCTGCGGCTGGGGAGTGGCTGAGGTTGCCGACTGCGCTACGCCAGATGTAGAGGGAGCCAATGAGCATGAGTGAGTTGGCAAACAGGGCGAGCTGCAGGCGGAACAGCCAACGCCAGGCCCTGAGCTCAAGGCTCCCGGCCAGATAGGAGCGGGACACGATCATGGACACGAAGACGGTGCCGGCAGCCAGGGCAGCCTTTGCACCCAGGGGCAGCTGCCTGAAGATCGCCATTTTCTCGGCTCCTAAGAGGGTCCCCTGCCAGTTCTGTGCGGGCGGGCTCTGGAAGGTGACTTCCTTAGAAAGGACAGAGGCCAAAGACAGGTTTCCAGGTCAGCTCCGCCTGCAACCAGGAACCGGCATCAGCTTTGTGGGATATTACAGCTTTTTTGTCCCCATTCAAAATCTGAAGGCCACTCACATCTTCCCAACCCACCTTGAATCCAGGCCACTCAAGTTAACAGTTGGCCGCTACACTTTAGTATTAAAATACAGACATAGGGATCCCTGGGTGGTGCAGCGGTTTGGCGCCTGCCTTTGGCCCGGGGCGCGATCCTGGAGACCCTGGATCGAATCCCACATCGGGCTCCCGGTGCATGGAGCCTGCTTCTCCCTCTGCCTGTGTCTCTGCCTCTCTCTCTCTGTGACTATCATAAATAAATAAAAAATAAAAAAAAAATAAAATAAAATACAGACATAGCGGATTGTAACATGGTGGGCGGTTCTCATTTTCTTAGAGTTTTCTGAAAGTCTAAAAGTTTTTCCACAAACCATATGAACTTTTTTTATATAATAAGAAAAACATTATTTCATGTTAGTGGTTCTTGAAGTGTGATCTGGGGAGACCCTTGCAGGAGGTTCATTTACTCAAAATTATGTTCATAGTTATACTAAGCTATAACTGCCCTTTGCATTCTCATTCTGTCACGAGTGTATAGTAGAGTTTTCCAGAGGCTCCATGACATGTGATGTGGCAAGACTGAATGTGCCGGGCCATCATCTATCATGACAGGTGTGAAAGAGGTTTGTAAAAATGTAAGACAGTGCCACTCTTCCCCCCTGAAGTTTGAAGAAAAATACTGTTATTTTTCAAAAAAACATAGTTTGTTACATATAAGGATTTATCATTTCTTAAATAAATATTTAAAATTTTTCTGTTTTAATTTCCAGGACAGTTGGTCTGAGAACCGCTGTTCTATATACATGTAAAGGAGAAAATAACGGAAAGCCAGGCTGCTGGTATCTTTCTGAAGCTCCAGGCCCAGCAAGGACACCCAGACACTGACATAAGAATTCCTGGGTTGGAACTGGCCTTCCTGTGTAGGCTCTGGGGGTGCGCACACGCGCTCACACACACACACACACACACACACACACTGAATGATGCTGCACAATCATTTTCCAGGGGGCCACCCTTTCCACCCGCTCCTCATCCATAAACCCTGACCTCTCCCCTCCCACAACCCTCCCAGATATTGGTTAAGACCTGTCACCCCCTGTCTCCCCATTTTCTCTTCTCTTGGGGAAATGTTTCCTGGAACACTTCCCCAACTGCACCCTGGCCAGGGGTTCTCGCAGCTGGGTAGCTCTCACGCCAGGACTCCCGCAGGCCCTCTACAGACCCACACAGTGAGCAGGAAAACCACACACAAGGTAGGCAGAAGTTACCAAACACTCGATTTGGGGTGACTTTTCCTCAAGAACCCCAAATCAAACTATTTTCAGCAGCTACTTGTCAATTACTTACAATCTTCAACCTTCATTTTAGATAAATGCGTGACTCTTCTGTGCTGAGGCACGTCACCGAAACCTTTTATCAAGGGATGCAGCCTACAAGTGAACAGGCCCAATTCGCCCTCCTCCTGCTGAGAACACGGCCCAGCGTCGGCCCACCCACACTCTGGGGCAGCCACAGTGGGTTAGCTGAACGTGCAGAGGGCAGTGCCCCCCCCCCCGCCCCAGGTTCCTCGGCTGTGACGCTGACCCCCCGGCAGCGGTCTGCAGCTGCCCCCCCCGCCCCCGTCTTCCGCCCCCGCGCGCCCGGCCTCCCTGCGCCCCGCCCGCTGCCACCTGCAGCCCACCTCCGGCCCACCCTGGGCCTGCACCGCCAAGCCCCGAGGATCCGGAACATCAAGGCGGCCGGGAGCGGCGAGGAGAGGACGAGACGTCAGAACAGAGAACACCTTGGGGAGATCCGTCCGACGGCCCCTCGCGGGCCACCCTGTCCCCGCGCTCTCCTCCCCGAGCGCCCCGCAGCGCCCGACCGCGCCACCGCCCCGAGCCCCCCTCCGGGCCCTGCGCTCCCCGCAACCCCTCCCGGAGACCGCACCGCGGGAAGGGCCTGGCGCACTGCGGCTCACCCCGCCCTCGCTCCGACCGGGAAGTGGGTCCCCGGGCCGCGCAGGCGAGGCGAGCCGCCCCGCCCGGGAAGGACGCGCGCCCCGCCCGCCCCGCCCCGCCCCGCCCCGGCGCTTCCCCGGCTGCGCCCCGGCCCCCGCCCCGCAGGCCCCGGCAGCGCAGCCCTCCGCGGGGGCCCGGGGACTCACCCGCAGGCCGCGCGCAGAGCCCAGCAGCAGCGGCACCAGCAGCGCCCAGAGCGCGCGAACCGCCATCGCCACGTCCCTCCCGGCTGCGCAGTCGGCGCGCGGGCCAGCCGGAGTCCCGGCCCCCGGCGGACGCCCCGCGGCCTGGCCCCGCCCCGTCCGCCCGGTCCGCCCCGTCCGCCCCGCCCCGCCCCGCCCCGCCCCGCGGCCGCGGAGCCTCCGGGAGGGGGCCGGGGAGGGGGCCGGGGAGGGGGCCCGGGGGGCGGGGGCTGGGCGAGCTCCAGGGCCGCCGGCGGCCGCGTGACTCCCCGGGCGGGTTATCTGGGTTTTGCTGGCAGGCGCCGCGGGGCGGGGCGGTCAGGAGGCCAGACTGTCCGCAGCCTGATAGCGCCCCGGGGTCGGCCTGTCACAGGGTCCCCGGGCTCCTGGCTGCGCTGAGACACCAGAGGGGAAGCGGACGCCAGATGCGCCCGAGCGGAGGAGGTGGACGGCGAGCCCTGCAGAGACGGCTGTTCCCAAACCTCCACACCAGGGGTCCGCAAAGTGCGGCCACTGGGCCAACTGTAGAGCTGCTGCTTGTCAGAAATTAAAGTTCCAGGGCATCATCCCAGAAACTCTCAACCAGAAACTCTAGGAGGGCTCCAGAAATCTGCGTTTTTACAGGTTTTCCAGGTTATTCCAGTGCGTGCTGAAATTTGAGAACCACTGTGCAGGTGACTGATTCCTTTAGAGGTAAGGTTCAACTGCGACAAAATCAATTTAGAATACCAACCCGTGGGGCAGCCCCAGTGGCCCAGCGGTTTAGCGCTGCCTGAGGCCCGGGGTGTGATCCTGGAGTCCTGGGATCGAGACCCGCGTCGGGCTCCTCCCTGCCTGGAGCCTGCCTCTCTCTCTGTGTCTTTCATGAATAAATAAATAAAATCTTAACAACAACAACCCTCAAAGCACCCAGGTTTGCAGAAGTTTTACTTCGACTTCATGGTTGGGTTTAGAGAGAGAAGAGAAGCGACATCTCCCACCTTTCAATTTTGCACTTGAGTCTCAGCACCCTCACAATGCAGGGAATCTGTCAAATGGGTGTAAAGTAGTATTACATCTTCTTACACCTGGGAAGAAAAAGCCTTTGCAGCCTCATTTAAGAGAACCTTTTGGAACGCCTCGGAGGCTCAGCGGTTGAGTGTCTGCCTTCACCTCAGGGCCTGATCCCATGATCTGAGATGGAGTCCCACGTTGGGCTCCCTGCATGGAACCTGCTTCTCCCTCTGCCTATGTCTCTGCCTCTCTCTGTGTGTCTCTCATGAATAAATAAGTAAAATCTTTTTTTTTTTTTAAAGAACCTTTTCCTGATTGGTTCCTCACGAACTCTGAAAAATCCCACTTCCCTTCACTGACACTATAAGAGTTTCAGCTTTAATGGAAACTGAGTTTTAGAGGGAAATCACTTTCATTTTTTTCCAGTTTATTTATTTATTTAAAGTTTTTATTTTAATTTCAGTTGGCCAACATACAGTGTTATATTAGATACAGGTGTACAATATAGTGATTCAGCTCGTCTATGCAACACCCTGTGCTCATCACTACAAGTGAGCTCCTAATCTCCATCACTGCTCTGGTAACCATCAGATCTCTGGAATTAAGAGTCCGTTTCTTGCTTTGTCTTTCTTATTTTCCCCCTTCGCTTGGTTTTTTTTGTTTCTTAAATTCCACATATGAGTGAAATCATGATATTTGTCTTTCTCTGACCTATTTTGCTTAGCATTATACTTTCTATCTCCATCCATGTCATTGCAAATGGCAAGATTTCATTCTTTATTATGGCTGAATAATATTCCATTAGATACATACATACATACATACATACATAGCTACCACATCTTTATCCATTTATCAATCGATAGACTCTTGGGCTATTCTATTTCCATATCTTGGTTATTGTAAATAATGCTGCTATAAACATAGGGATGCATGTATCCCTTTGAATAAGTGTTCTTGTATTCTTGAGTAAATACCCAGTAGTAGTATTTGCTGGATCATAAGGTACTTCTATTTATGTGTATGTGTGTGTGTATACATCATATATTTAATTTTTTCCAGCTTTATTAGTTATAATTGACAGCACTAAATTCATTTGTTTTAAATATTTTATTTTGTTAACTCCTTATTTTGAAAAATAAAATGTAAGGTTAAATTATGATATTAACACATTCTCTCCCAGACTAAACTTTAGTTAGGCTCCTCCTATCCTTGCCTGACCTGCATTGCCTGATCTTAGCAAAGAATCCTGCTAAATCAGCTTAGGGAAGATTACCTGACTCTTGACACCTGATCAAGTTCCTCATTCCTTGCCTTTGACTTCTAAGTCCTTGACCTGCCCTTAGCAAGAATTTTCTGATATCCCCTGTTGTAAGTTTCTTCTTCCCACAAACCCCTCACCTCACTCTGCTGGTCAACTATAAATCCCCAGCTGTGTTTGCTCTACTTAGAATTGAAACCTTAAAAAAAAAAAAAAAGAATTGAAACCTATCTCTCTCCCCTATTACAACATCTTTTTTTTTTTAACTTATTTATGAAAGGGGAAGGGGCAGAGGGAGTAGCAGACTCCCCACTGATCAGGGAGCCTGATCCATGGGATTGATCCTGGGACCCCTGAGATCATGAGTGAGCCAAAGGCAGGCAGACTCTTTTCTTCCTTCCTTTCTTTCTTTCTTTCTTTCTTTCTTTCTTTCTTTCTTTCTTTCTTTCTTTCTTTCTTTCTCTTTGTTTCTTTCTTTCTTCTTTTTTTTTTTAAGATTTTTT